GAGTTACAGACAGCTGTTAGCCACCATGTGGGTGCTGGGAATCAAACCCAGGTCCTCTGCAAGAGCAATGAGTGCTCTTAACCTCTGAGCCATATAGTCTTTTTGAGACAGGTATTTTTAAATTATTTATTTAATTTTTATTTTTTATGTGTATGAGTGTATTGCCTGCATGCAGGTAAGTGCAACCAGTCATGCAATGCCTGCAGAGGTCAGAAGAAGATGTCAGATTCCCTGGAACTGGAGTCACGGATGGTTGTTAGCTACAATGTGGGTGCTGGGAAGCGAACTCAGGTCCTCTGCAAGAGTAGTGAGTGCTCTTAACCACTGAGCCATCTCTCCAGCCCCAATATCAAAACTTTTTTACAGCATGTTATCCTCATAAAGAGATCTAAAGCTAAAACATAACTGACAAAATAAAGTGATCTCGTGTTATATGATGGTAGCGTTTACCTTTGTTGATTTGAGAAGAGAAAAGATCTGGGAATCAAACACAAGACCCTACACATGTTAGGCAAGTGATTCACACTATACCCCAAGCCTTAAATTGGTTGATTCTAATACAGGAGTACCATTAGGTTTCTTCTGATTCCAAAAATTAAACATGGGAAAATGATATCTCGGAGAAACCTCAACCCTTTTTAAAAATATTTCATTATTTTTATTTTATGTGATGAATGTATTGCCTGTGTGTATGCTAGTGCTTTCATATCATGGAGTGTCAGCAGAGGGCATTGGTTCCCTGAGAATTGGAGTTATAGAGTTATGGACACTATGTGGGTGCTGTGACCCAAACCCAGGTCCTTTGCAAAAGCAGTCAGTACTCTTCTCCACTGAGCTATCTCTCCAGCCCCAACTCTTTTTTAAAAAAAATAATGGTACAAGTGGTACTAGTATTATCATGGTTAAAAATTTTCATTCTCTTGATTCCATACAACCACTGTAATCATTAACTCACAACAATTGTCCTTGCCTGCACTATGTACCCATACAATACTAAGCCCTATCAACAATCAATCAAGAAATGGGGAGGGTCTCACTGGATCCTACCCTTTACCTCTGAACTATTGGCTACTGACTGATAACTTCTGGGAGACAGGGAATCACTGTCTTTAGTTGTCAACCTACTGTGAGTCCATCAGACTCCTATGAACAGCTCCACATCTATTCCATGCTCACATAAACAGTATAGTTGTGCTGGATAGTTTTAGTGTCAACTTGACACACCTGGGTTGAGGGAGCCTCAATTGGGGAATTGTCTTCATTGGACTGGCCTGTAGCCATGTCCATAGGGCACCTTCTTGATTGTTGAGTGATATGGGTGGGCCCAGCCCACTGTGGGTGGTGCCACCTCTCGGCAGGTGGGCTTATGTTGCATAAGAAAGCAGGCTGAGCAGGGACCAGGGGAGCAAGTCAGTAAGCAGTGATCCTCCATGGCCTGCACTCCAGCTCCTGCCTCTAGGTTCCTGCCCTGAGTTCCTACTTTGGGCTCCCTGATGAACTATGACCTGGGAGATGTAAGCTGAATAAACCCTTTCCTCCCCAAGTTGGAAGTTGTCAGACTGTTTTGTCATAGCAATGGAGAAACAAACTAGGAATAGTTAATCACAGGGAGTCACAAGGCAAAATGAGTGGACATGAACTTGAGAGGGCTGTGACAAGGAGAGGGGTGAAAAGGGATAGTAGGGTGATGGGGGTGAGAGAGTGGTCAATACACATTGTAATCAGGTGCAAAACTGTCTACAAACAAATTTAATTTTAAAAGAGATGCCTTGGACAAAAGTGGCATGTTCTTCAGGTATGGTGTGTGTCTCATATAAAAATGTATTTCATTTTACATATGTTATACATTAGAAATCCCAGCTTCAGACATTAAATATATAAAATATGTTAAGTAAGTTTCCCTGTACTTGTTAATCGTAGACATAGTTCCTTCATCATAAAATTTTGATTCAGGGGCTGGAACAATGACTCAGGGGTTAAAAGTGCTGGTTGTTCTTGCAGAAGACCCAGGTTCAAATCCCAGCACCCACATGGTGGCTAACATCCATCCATAACTCCAGCTCCAGGGTATATGACACCCTCTTCTGACCTCCATAGGTACGGCACGGCACATACATATATGCAAACAATATACTTATACACATAAAAATAAATTTTAAAAATTTAGATACACGCTGGTTTTTTAATCCAAAGTCAAATGTGTATTTATATCCCAACATATTTTTCACATTAAAATAAGTGACATTTTATTACCTGTGTCTCCACACCTTGCTCCAGCAGACGCTTAGCTTGATTTTCCACTTCAAGTCGAGCTCTTGCAATAAAAAGTAGATCATTTTCTATTACTTCTATTCCAGAAAGGTCTATTCCTTGAGAAAGATAATCTATTAAAAAAGCACATTTTAATAGTCAATAGCAAATAATTATCAAAGTATCAAAATAATATGTGTAAGTACTTTAAAAATATTATACATTTACTATTGGACATAGTATCCTTTTTGTGCGTGTGGTTTTTCTTTTGTTTCTTTAGTATTTTTTATTTTTATTTTTACATAGTAACCTTTTAAAACCCATATTCTAATAAAAATTAACTCCCCAACATTTTCTATTTAATAATTTAACTTTGGAACTAAATGTCCCAAATAAGACACACTTGGTAAAACAATAACAGAAAGTAGTATATATTTTAATTTCAAAGAAATGTCAACAAATTAAAGAGGATTTTTTTAACATAAGAAAGGGACTCATTATGCATCCAAGAACTGCCCCAAACTGACTATGTAGTCCAGGTTAGCCTCAAATTCATATGCACACAGGTATATACATGAAAAGTAGGCTGAGCATGGTAGTGCAAGCCTGTAAGTTTAGTACTCAGGAGGCTGAGACAGAGAGATTACAAGTTCCAGACTAGCCTAAGTTATATAGCTTACATAGTAAGACCCTGTCTCAAAAATACAAAAACGAAAACGAAAAATGCCAATTAGTTGCCTCTACAGGTTTAGAGTCAGGATAATTTTAACTTACATTTATTTATTTATTTATTTATTTATTTATTTGTTTGTTTATTATTTAATTATTTTATTGTTACACATTTCTAAAGTAATTAAAATGCTAAGGATAAAGATTAAGGTCTAATTATACAGACTAGATACACTTCTACAATTCATATATTTTCTATTTTAACAAGACAACTGATTTCTAAAAACACTAATTTATTTAGATAGATTCATTTTAGCCAATTAACAGAATGACAAATATGTTTTTCACTATTTTCTCTTAATTAAAATTTTGTCTTCAGTCTTATTAAAACTAAACCCTAGTATTTTCATGTAACTGCAGAGTACTTCTGTTAGGTTACAACCTACCAACTAGGTCCAGCTCCATTAAAGCATCTAATATGATGCTAACTGACCATGTGGCAACACTTGTATCTGCTGACTGAACACAACAGCTCTACATCTGGAGGAAAAAAGGATATAAAGGGGAATTATATGTGTTATTGCTAATGTACTTCAGGTAAAAACATCTTCTTTTTCAGTGTGCATATCCAAAAGGACATAAGGCTTATCAGAGTAGAAAGACTACTGGAAACACCATCAAATTTTTTGAGCTTAGATTTTGCCTGGAACTCACTAAGTAATCACAATCAAGTGATATGCACATTGAGCTTTACAGTTTATTTGTTTTATCTATAAAATGGCAACATTATAAAATGGATGCACTACATACCCTTTAGACTATCATCAGAATTAAAATATGTTAATGAATGCCAAACTATGTTTTATACCAAAGCATTCTGGAGTTAGTATGAATTTTAGGACTTAGGAAATAGAAAGAAAATCTTTTTCTTTCTTTGCTTATTTTCTGCATACTGAGTAGGCAACTCAGGGTCTTTTACATACTCATACAAATATTTATCACTGTGTTATATCCATCATCCTGGTATTATTCATTTTAAATAATTTTTTCAGAGAATTTTGAGAGAGAAGGGTTTTACAGTCAAAGAACAGGTGGTATTCCTCCTTTGTTCTCCATGTTTTTCACAAAAGGGCAAGCATGAAAAAACAGGTCATGCAATTGCACTTAGTTAGGCTAGAATACTAACAGTACTAAATACTAGTATACTAACTTTTTACAAAAGTAATTAAAAAATATATGAAATGCCAACTTTGAAATATGTCAGCATTAGTAACACAATAACAATTAAACCTTACTAAATATAGACCTCACAGTCAGAATTAACTTACCACATAACATTACTACTGAATTTCCTCAAGTACTACAATGTATGAAAAAACTAAATTGATCTACTTGTATTTAATGTCTTCATTATTTCTTTAGAACTGAGAAAATGATGAAACTAGTGCTTTTAGTGACAAAAAAAGATGTTAATCACTGTCATTTACACTGATTAAAAATTAGCAAATTATAAAAATATTCAGACAAAAGTCTAGACAGATGTTAAGGGACTGGATAATAATGGACATTAAAAAACTTATGGTCTGATAATATTTAAATGTTTGTAATTTAAGAAACTAAAAAATGAATTCTGTCCTGCCTATCATCACTCTGGCCTCAGGCAGGTAGGTACTTGGTTTCAATGATTACCGCATGTGTTATTTCCTGGATTGCCTCATTTCTTTGTAATTTTCAGCCTTCAAACTAAACGAATACCTGAGGAACATAAATCCTGATTATCATAAGGGTGAGTCAGTAATTTTTACTACCTTTGAATGTTGCAATCATTTCTGTTTATCTACCAGAACGAACATGATCATTACTCTCCTACTCATGATGTTCTGACTTGCTTTATTTTCCAATATAAAATCTTATGATTCCAAAATCCTCACTGCCCATACCTTACCCAAGCCTCTTCCTTTGTTTAAAGGAAAACAAAAAGGATAAATACAGCTTATTTAATAATACAGTTATGTTCCACTGTAATTTTACAACTAAATTATTGAGAGATAAGAACATACTAAAAGTCAGAGAAATTTAAGTCATTCTCTATATTGAGGTGTCAAATGAGTTAAAAATTAAAAGGTAGAATATTAGCAGTTTATTCAGTGAAATAAATAATAAAGATGATCACCTTTAAAATATTGAAAATGGTTGTGCCTGAGGAATAGTAAATGGATAGAGATGGGGGCAAAAGAGGGTTATTTTTTAGTAAACACTGTAGAAATCTTTGAGTATATTACACATGTATAAATTTCTGAGCAAGCTGCTTCCCTGGGGCTGTACTACCCGCAGGCCTCTGGCTGACCAGCAGACCTCTTTCCCAGACCAGACCAGCTCCTCAGTGCAGTCCATAGGAGCCCTTGGGGCCTCTTCCCGCTGTCATCTCCCTTTGCATCTCTGGGTGGCACGGCCACTACTTGCCCTAGACTAGCATCTTTCCAGGGCCTGGCTGCCAGGCCAGTCCAACTCCCAAATTCCTTAGGCCAAAATCTTTCCTGGAGGGATCCAGACCATAGGAGAAAGCCTGGGAGCATCTGATCCTCATATGACTTGGGACTCTGTGGGAACTCCTGAAGACAAAAGCAATCTGGCCGCTCCGATATAAAATCAAAAGAGAGAACCAGAAGCTTAGACGAACCAGATTTTCATGCCCAAAAAGTAAACCACAAAGACACATGAAGTTTACAAAAACAAGCAGACCTAAACTTGAAGGCTTGAGTTTCACATAAGAATCAGAAACTACAAAAGAAATTCACATGTGAAAATAACAGAAAAAAATAATAACATGAAAAACCAAAAATCACATATAATACCAATAGTCCTCTGGAGGAATACAATGAGAACCCCCTAGAGATAATGCAGGATATGGAACTCAAAAGAACAATTATAAACATGATAAAAGAATTCACTGAATTTAAAGAACATACAAAGAAACCAAAGAACTGAAGGAAGATAGGGATAAAGTTCTGAATGAATTCAGAAAAGAGTTAGAAATATTGACAGCTACTCAGGCTGAAAAAGGAGGAAATGAAACACTCAGTAAGCCAATTAGAAATGAAAGGAGAAAGCCTCACCAATAGGATGAATGAAATGGAAAACAGAGTATCAACACTGGAGGATAAAGTTGAAGAATTGGACCACTCAAGCAAAGATTATGAAAAATTTAAGAAATCACAAGAATGGAATATGCAGGAGTTGTGTGACACCATAAAAAGACCAAACTTACGAATCACAGGCATACAGAAAGGAGAAGAATCCCAAGATAATGGCATGGACTATATCTTCAACAGAATCATGGAAGAAAATTTCCCAAAATTAAAGAAAAATATGCACATACAAATACAAGAAGCATATAGAACACCAAACAGACAGGACCAGAAAAGAAACTCTCCACAGCACATCATAGTAAAAACACTAAACATACAAAACAAAGGGACAATACTGAAAGCAGCAAAAGGGAAACAACAAGTCACATACAAAGGAAAACCTATTAAGATTGCAGCTGACTTTTCAGTACAAACTATGAAAGCCAGAAGAGCCTGAACCAAAGTATTCCCAGTTTTAAATGACCACAGATGCCAACCCAGGTTACTATACCCAATCAAAATGTCTATTAAAGTCAAAGGGGAGAGAAAAATCTTCTATGTCATAAATAGGCTGAAGGAATTCATGTTCACAAAACCAGCCTTTCAGAGAGTTCAGGAAGCAATACAAAGAGCTGAAGAAAGGAATGACTATACCCGAGGGGTTGCAGAAAGAAATTCAATGAAGGTTAACTGTGGAAAAGTACAGCTATATCAAGAATGTAATCAGAAATAAAAATGGCAGGATTTGATACTCATCTTTCATTAATAACTTTAAATATTAATGGACTGAATTCCCCAGTCAAAAGGCACACACTAGGTGAATGGATTAAGAAACAAAACCCATCTTTTCGTTGTTTGCAAGAAACTCATCTCACTTACAAGGACAGACACTATCTTAAAGTGAAAGGATGAAAAATATATATATACCAAGCAAATAGAACTAATAAAAAAGGAGGCGTAGAAATTCTAACATCTGACAAAATAGACTTTAAACTAAAACTAATCAGAAGAGATAAAGAGGGCCACTTCATTCTGATCAAAGGAACAATATATCAAGAAGACATACAATCATGAACATACATTCACCAAACTCTGGTGCACCCAACTTCATAAAAACAAGACTACAGGACTTTAATACCCAAATTAATCCCAACTGATTAATAGTAGGGGACTTCAATACCCGACAGTCTCAATTAGATAGGTCAACAGGGCAGAGAGTTAACAGAGAGACATCTGAATTAAACAATACAATATACCAAGTGGACTTAACAGACATCTATCGAGTATTCCACTTAAGCACCAAAGGACATACTTTCTAGTCAGCACCCCATGGAACC